AGAGAGAGAGAGGGGAAGAAAAAGAAAGGAAGGAAAGGAAAGAATCCAATGGACACACCTGTCGCGGCATACGGGAAACAGTAAAAACAGGTGAAACCCGAACACCTGAGTCTTTTTCACGACTTAACACTTGCTTCATCTCTTCAACGAACGGTTGAACGATAGCTAATAGTAGTCGTGCATTTCTATCGATAGAGGAGCGACTCTAATTCCATCAGAATCTTTCCCGATGAAATCTATTTGATAGAGAGGAAGAATCGACGAAAGAAGGGAAGCGTTAGAAAAGGGAGATCGTCGACGATCGGATTTTTCGCTTTTAACGGTTTCTCTCTTGGCGGGAGAGCGTGCCGCGTTGTATCGTACATATTGAATTAGGTATAAAAATGCATTCATTTGCATACAGACTGTTGCCATGCCGCGCATGCGTTCCTCCATCTCGACACGCACTTTTTCACGCGCGGTTCGTACAACGTAGGTACGAGTTTCGAGACCCGGGCCTCTACCTGTCCTCTCCGTCACCAGTGCGTGTGCAACGTAACACGCAACCCCTCGAACAACCACGTACTGTACGTATGCACTGGTGAACTTACGAAACAGCATGGGCACCTGCCCATATGGTGGCCATCGCGTACGCAGCGTGCTTTCCATCTGGTCTCTCCAGCGAGGCACCTCGCTCACGGTGTCGAAAACACCGTCAACCAGAGACGATCGCTATCTTCGCACTTGGTTTAAACCCCCCCCTCTCTCTCTCTCTCTCTCTCTCTCTCGCTTTAACGTATATTAAGCGCGCAATTCGCCGACCATAATTCGTAACACCTACCCCGCTTTCGCTCCCAGAAGCCAGAAGCCACGTGAGAAAACTGGTGCGTGCAACACTTCATTGACGCTAGAACCACCTAACGGCGATTAAAGCATAAAATTTCCGTTTCTCGATTTAAGAGGAACGTTCAAAGTCGCAAGAAGTAGAGGAACCTTCTCACACAATGGACGTGTCACAAGCTTTTATTTATTATTACATTATACGAATGTTAGATTTAATTCTTTCAAAATACGCAAAATCTTCTACAAAATGTTTTCATACGTATGTAAAATATCTAACGAAAAATTATAAATAATTACGAACAATTATTATTATAGTTATAAATAATTTTGGTTTCAATCGTTAATAAATAAATAGTTTCAGTGTCAATCGTTTTAGTGTCGTTTAAGTAATTAGCGCGATAAGCGCTTGTCTCTTCGTTGAACTGTTTACGATCGACAGATTGAAAATGGCTGGCGCAATCTTCCTCTTACAGGGGAGGTGTATAGTGCGTTCAACGCTCTGAAAAGTGATCAAAATGACCAATTCTTTATAATTTCTCGATAACTTACAGTGTTGCGTTGTTCTGATTGCGAGATTAACTTTTGTAAAATGCATGAGTGAAAGTTCGTGTTTGTCTTTATAAATCTTCTCCTATTGCACTCCGATTACTTCAACTCAATTTCTATACCTTGATCTTCGGTAGTTGCAAGTGTTAACAATAACAACGTGGACGCCGAAAAGAAGATATTCTTTCTGTGAAAAATTATGCAGAGATCGAAAGTCCACCTAAAATACTATCACGCGCTCGATTAAAAATGTCCAGTCTTCACTACTAACGATTATTGCAACGAAACGTGCAAGACAGGTAAAGATCTCTCCATATTTCTCCATTTTCTCCTCCTGTTTGTAAAGTCGCAAATTCACGAAGCATTAAAGCACTTTTATTGGATATTTTTGACAATTCTCTGGACAATTGGATTCCCGTGGACAGACCAGGCTCGTTTCACATGATTTTGAAAATGTTTGGTCTAGCCATGAAGCAAGACCACGAGGGACTTAACCTGTCTCGCATGCTTAAAAGTTGATCTCTCCTCGTGTCCAAGCAATAATAGCAGAGATTAAACCTTTGCCCTCGACAAACTTTTTTTGCATCGTATATCAACAATATATTTATGAAGCATCAAGTAAAATGACATTGGAAGTAATCATTCAAATGGTATTTGAATACAACACGAAATTTTGTTGGTCATATCTCTCTAAGAATAAACGTAATATTCTTTTAAATTTACAGCAATCATCAACGTGCAGATTTGCTAGAACATAATGTAAAAGAGTCAACGATGCATAGTTTCAATCCCTGGAAAAATAATATCATCCGCCATTTTTTCAACTTTCGTAAGGAAAGCAATGGAAAGTCTAGTTTAAACAAATTATTGTGTAAATTGTTGACTGTCAATTGGTTCAGTTATCAAGGTACTGTCTT